TCCTGGCAACGTTTACACAATCTCACCATTTTGCAGGCCAAACCATGGAGGTGTGTGATTCTACCTCCATGACCAAACAATCTCCATTTTATGTGGGGGCACTTTTAATGCTAATGAGCTGGTCAGAAATTCGCACTTGAATTAGTGGTCTGCACCCTACAAAGACATTCATCGTATAAAGATACATTTTAAACAAAACATAAACGATACTATATTTAACCACCTACGCTACAAGGAGGCTAATTAAAAATCTACAAACGCAAAACACTTCATTTCATGTTTATTAAAAAAATGCTGGAGCAGATTTAGGCTGGCAAAGACTCAAACTCTACAAAAACTTTCCAAATAAAAGCAATCTAGCAGCACTTACGAGAAAGACAATAACAGTGATTATGAATTGATTCCTTACAAAAATACTGATAATGGGAATCCATATTTCAAGCGATCATCTAGATGCAAGAAAACTCTCGGCAAAATGTCTGTAGAAAAAACACAGTAATCTCTTGAATTAAACTACTCTTAGTCCAGAAATCAATTTATTGAAAATGAATAAAATCTACAAGTGAGCAATGTACATGAACACAATAATTCACATCACTATTTTAAGCCCAAATTGCATTTTACTACATCTTCATTTGCATAAATACATGCTCACATAAATATCTTTACAAATTAGACATGCTGCAGATTTCTACTACTACACGCAGCCGCATTGGGCGTGGTTTAAACAGAAGTGGCGTTACATTTACAAACCGGATACTGCATGTGTTGGCTAGATTTCCATTCTGCAGGGGTTATACCAGTCAGGAAAATGATGGAGCAGAAACAATTTTATGCCTATTCAAGTCAAACTTGTGACAGTTCCCTAGCACATTGGCATAACAACACTACACATGCTGTCTAGGTAAAGTCGAGAAGAAAATGGCAGTTTATGTTGTAAAAAATGGAAGAAAAGAATTCATATTGTAACCGTTTAGAAATGTTAAATTTCTAAATTAGAAGAAAATAAAACAACAAATATATGGAAAAACAACACTTGATGAGCACATAAGTATGATATTCATTGTATGAAATAGTATTTCATTACTAGTTTTTGTTTTTAAATTATCTTTGTAAAAAACTAAGAATCATCTGAGAAAAAAAATCTATTTCACCTTTACTAAAGTGTGTATGCGTAAAAGTTTGAGAGTTTATATATGATTGGCAAAATACAACTCTAATTCCTTAAAAAATGGCCAAAGTATATTATAGTATACAACTACCGACTTTCTTCAAGAAGTGTCGTAAAACTAGTCCCCCAAGGTGATCCGTGGGTCATTCTATTGTTCCTGAGGTGAAGCCCAGGGTAAATAGCAGGCTCCATTGATCATCCAAGGAGGCTCAGTTTTCACCACAACATAAAGCAGTCAATATTTGCTTTATAACACCCCTCCTACAAATGCTACTGTGACAACTAATTAATTTAATCTAACTGCATTTAAATGTCTGTTTGAATGGGAAATTTGTTGCAAATATAAGAGCACTATTTCCAACTACATGTATAAATACCTCTTCACAAAATGTTCGAACCCAGCTCTGTATCACGAGCACTTGGGAATACACCCAAAGTGCAACATATGCATATCCCAGTATGTATTTACACAGTGGTCATGCACAAAGTACTTGAATGGCTACAGGTAGAGTTCTTTAGCCATGAAAAGCAAGATAACGAAAGTACTGCCAATCAAGAGAGAGAATCTATTTGTAGCTGAGGTATTACAACTCTACATGGTCTGGAAAAGCAATTTGCACTTTTAAAAAATTTAGTAAAAACTGGAAAACAACAAAGAAATCTATTGTAAAAATATTAACTGGCAGAGCATTATTAAAGAGGGACTACATATGTGCATGGACATGCACATGTACAAACAAATGATGCCGAAATTTAAGTTCTATACAAAGACACTCACACAACAAGAAATGCTGGTAAGATGTATCACACTCCATAATGAAAAACCATTTCAGGTGGTGCTTGGCAGGCAATTCCCACAGCTTAATTAATAAAAGTACAAGTAAAAAAGTATTTGTGAATGTGACCATTCCATGATGAGACCCAGAACAACATGATAAGACACAAATTACTGTAACCATGGAGGATTATTTGGTTATTCCTTTGAGTTACAGGCTGTAAATATATTATGCTCTATAAAAATTAATAGCACAACAAACTATACAACTATTGTTTGTGAGGTTTTCAACCATTATAGTATCCACCCCGAGCTGAGGTACACCCTAATTAGCAAAAAGAAAGACAGGTGGTTACAGGTGGGTTCTTGTACGTGTTCTGCGTGTATGCAAAGACCATACATGTACATGCCTGAATAAATTAGCTATGCATACTCAACGTGCTTCACGTCAAACGCGCATACTTGCACGCCTCATGGTGCGCCTATGCAGTGAGTACCAAAGAAACACACCCTCTTTTGTTCCACTCGGAGCGGACAGGTTCAACTGGCCAATTTCTGCAAAAAGTCTTTTAGTTTTACACAAGGCATATCTAAATTTGTTTTAAAAGGAATGATCCTTCACACAAGCATTCGAATATCAACAGCAAACATTCGATGTTGTTAATCTTATTCAAATTCCATTTTTAGTCAATTTGTTCATTCCCATTCATCAAAGGGCTTAGAAAAAGGATGAGGCATTCAAGTTAGTTAATATGCAATCTCATTTCACTTGAATGCTTTCAAATTCGGTCCAGTGATAAGCGCTTTCTGGATCCTATATAACGTGATTATCCAAGAAAAAGGTGTCATGGTGGATCTTGAGACAGCTTTCTGTCAATGAAACTTTGTACAAAAATATGATAATGGGACCTCAAAAGCCCGTAAACAAAGTACAATGACAGAGACAAAACTGAATGCCAAAGTTAAAAAATTTTGTGTGCATGAAAACAAATTTGAATGCCAGAAAAGGGAAAAAGAAACCCCCAAACAAACTGAACCATAGCATCTGTGCAAATGTGAATACATGTTGATGAAAATGAGCGAACTTTTGCTGACTTTTGCCAGGAAATATTAGAATTCCAAAGGAAGTGATATGCTGAAATGTAGAGCTTGAATGTTTGCACTTTCTTCTAAATATGGAAAACATGCAAAAGTATTTAACTCGGACTCAAATCGGAGAGTTGCTGAAAAATGCTGCATCACTGGTAGCTCGGTCGATTTGCAGGATGAACTGCTGTGTCTGGATTAATAGGCACAACAGGCACTGCAGAATATCCGGAAGGGTACCCCTGAAGGTACGTAGATGGATAGAAAAAGGGTGCCATTCCCTGGTCCCCTGCTTGCCCTTGCCTGTCCAGTGGCAGATTGTTACCCTTCCATTGATTCCCTGCTGGGTGGAGAGTTTGTAATCTAACACTTTCCTCCACTACTTGGTTCTGATGCTCCAGGCTGAGGGGGTTGTCTGGTCGGTGCCAGATGGTCTCTGTTGGCTCCACTTCTCTCACTGGTTGCCTGTCGTCTCTCCACTGGTTCCCAACACTGTCATCTCTCTGGAGGGGCATTTCATTGCCTTTCCATTGGTTTTCCATAACAGGCTGCTCCCTCTGTTGAGGCACTGGGTTACTTTCTGCTTGGATAGGTATCTGATCTTCTCTATTCACAACCGCTTGTGTTGTCTCCTTAGATTTTTTGGTTGTGACAGGTTTGGGCCTGCCGACATCTTTCCACCAATCAATACCATGGTGTTTCTTGTTATGGTTCTTGAGGCTAACCTTGTGGTTAAAGGACTCATTGCAGAGTTCACATTGGTAGGGTTTGACACCTGTGTGGACTCGCTCATGTTTCTGCATGTTGCTCTTCTGGGAGAAACCTCGTCCACACTCGACACACTTGTAGGGCTTCTCCTTCATGTGGATAGCTGAATGAATGATCAGTCGGTTGTTGGTATAGAACGACTTTCCACAGTGGTCGCAGATAAAGGTCTTCTCACCACCGTGGTAAAGCATGTGACTGCGCAGATTTTGATGGAAGCGATAAGATTTCTCACAAAGCTCACACTTATAGCGATCTCCAGTCCGATCCATCTCATGGACCTTCTTGTGTTTCTGAAGGATCTGGTTCTCTGTGAAGCCTTTACCGCATTCCTCACAGATGAATTTTCTCTCTTGATGTTCCCGCCTGTGCAGGGTCATATTCTCCACATATTTTTTGCATTTAGGACATTGTCTTAGCAAGTTGGCAAGACTGGTTAAATCTGGAAGAACTGAATTGTCCATTTCCAAGCACCTGACTTCAGGATTACCTCCTTCATTGTTCTCATTACTACCATTCTCAGATGGAATCAAAAGTCGTTCTCTCTGGTGCACTCCAAGGAAATGTTTTTTAACATCATCAGCCTCTGGAAACTGTTCAAAGCACGTCTTGCATTCATACATCTTTGGCAGTCTTTGGAGTCTTACTTCCATGCGGATATACGTTCTGAGAAACAAAGGAATCATTGGTGAATTTATAAAAGAAAAATTCATGAGTTTATGCCTTTCCTAGAATTTCATTGGCAAGTATGACTTCTTTCAACCGAAAGAAAAAAATCCAATCATCATTTAGAGAAACTATTACATAGTGTATTTCTTCCAGGTTTAAAAGTTTACAAAATGAAAAAACCTCTTAAATTGCAAAATACACATTGACTCACTTGGTGGGCTTGTCCGTTTTGACTTTGGGCTTAGGAAATTTCTTCTGAGTTTCAGTTGCCACTTTCCTGGGACGACCCCTCTTACGTGGCGGACCAAATGGTTCTAGCTTGGTTGTCTTTACTGGTTGCTTTGTTGCTTTCTTGGAGGCAGGTGATGCCTTTGGTGGCTTGGTTGTTTTGATAGATAGTTTGGGCCTGATGGGTGCCTTAGGTGGGGCTTGGTAGCTGTTAGTAGAGCGAGGAAGACTCTTCCTTCTCCGCTTTGGCTGAAACAAACGTGAGACCCCAAAAATAGTAAAACTACAAGGACAAAGACAGGGAGGGCAAATCACAGTGATTTTCAACATTACAATAATTGGCATAGTTCACTGAGAATTTGCCTGTCCAGTTTATTGTCTCTGAATGCTAACAAGAAAGAGCACTGACAAGTGGCAATGACTTTCCTCATGTACAGCATGCACATTTGTTGCATAATATGTATCTGTGCACAAACTAGTGAAGTGATAGCATGCTTGCTGTGTGCAATATTCCTGCACAATCAAGAGTCAGCCTGGCCTATCTCTTTGTCATTAGTGAGGGCGTACTTGTGCACGTAGCCTGAATGTATTCCTGCTTAGACATATTCAACAGCAACATATTCCATCTGGAGAATTCTTGAGCTGTAACCTTACCAGACATAGCAAAGTAGAACAGGTGTAAAAGTCTGGTGCATTTTTTTACACTGGGCAATCAACAGCAGCTGAACAAATTGGCCCTACTGAAACAATGGGAGCAATGGTCCCATTGAACAATGCTACTGTTGGATCTTGTGGTGGCTGGTAACCATAGACTCCCAGGCCATTTGGCCTTGGGATGGTTGACCGGTTAGATCTTGTTGCATCTGCATCTAATTTAGTTGGATGTATGAAATCATTAACTTTGGCAAATGATGCAAACTGATACACTGTACAGCAAGGTCCTTCGGACTTTACAAATTACCTTGTAAGCCCCCCCCCCAAAAAAAGTTTGTCTCTGGTCAGACTGATGTTCCGGAATCAATGTGGTGACACAGCATTTTTTTTTTCTCCAGGGTTGGATTGTACAGACAGGCACACGTTGTTGAGTCATGGGACTAGACCAGCTTTATCATGATTATAAGCTGACAACAAACAACGTCATATCCATAGTCTGCTATCATTGTTCAACATCGATCTCGTCAGGATCTATTGCCCTGAGTAAAAGATCAAGTTGCCCGCAAAAATGTTGAGACAGTGTGGCAACAGAGGGCAATGGTGCAGCTCTCGCAGAAAGAAAAAAAGATTGACGCACATGCTTAAAACTGACGCACGCTCTGACCATGGACAAAAGACTCTTTTTTTTCAGGGTGAGGTAGTTTAGTGGTTTATCGCTTACATATCGGATCATGGGCAGAGGCTGATAATCCAAATCTTTAGGATTATCATCCATTGCCAGAAAATCCTCATTGTCATCTTCATCTTCCACATCGTCTTCAAACAGCTTTAAGCCATTCTCCTGTCGTCTCCTCTTCCGTACAGATCTCGGTGGGATTTCATCCAAAGGTGTTGCCTGTTTCCTGCGTTGAGAAATTTGTATTGTTACCATCAAAATTTATTAGACAAAAATCTAAGGGGAATGAAAGTGAATTATGAATTAGACACAAAGATTGCTTGAACATTATCAACAAATGCAGATGAAAAGTCATGTTGATAGCATCAATTTCCTTCCCTTACAAATTAACAATTAGAATACACAACATAAATTAGGTCAGCATTCATAATAATAATGGTCATTTATACGGTGCAAAATATATCCACCATGAAGGTGCCCAAGGCGCTGTTATTATCATCCGTGCACATTGAACTCACAACATCTGAACATTCCTGGAACCATCTCAGCTCCCTGGGGAGTATACCAGACCAATGCTGCCATATCAGCACAAATGGTTAAACATAACAACCATACTTGCCCACACAGACACCCATTTACTCCTGGATGGAGAGAGGCACATGGGGGTAAAATGACTTGCTCGAGATCACAACATGCTGCCACCAGCTGGATTTGAACCCCCGACCACTACAATTAGAGATATGATCATGGCTGGCTATGAGACATAACTACGAAAACTAATCACAAATACCGTTCATATTTTTTGGGTTGTCCCTTCCGCCGTGTCCCTTTCTTTCTCTGGGTAGTTGCCTCAGGTTGTTTGGCAACAGATAAAATTTCCTCCACACTGCAAAACAAAAGAAACTGAAAGTTAACTTTCACAAATATTTTTGTATTGTATAAATTGTATGTCTGAAAAATTTCGTCTTAAGTGTGATTCAGTATTAGTCAGGGTTAAAGACAGAAAACAGCAGAAGCAATAAAGTGTTATCATAACCCCTCTATGATTTGGACTGAGAAATCATTTCACATCATCTATTGACTTGTGTAGAATGCCACAGAGGGAGGGTTGTTGCAACTGGAATGTGAACAAAGCAAACCAATAAAGAAAGTGTAGAAAAAAATCAATTAACCTTAATCATGCTGAATACTGCAAAGTACAACAAATCCACAATTCGCAGGATCTTCTTATATTTGGCACCAATTACCAATCCCATGACAAAAGTGGTTAGTTGAATAATACTATGGCACCAATCAAGTCAGAGCTGTTGTATGTATGGCACCAATTACCAATCCTATGACAAAAGTGGTTAGTTGAATAATACTAGCATTGGACACTGTGATGGCTGGCAGACTAGGGCTCTTGCCATTTACCCTAACCACGCTAAACCCAACAGAGCCCAATTGGGTTTTTAAGTAGTTGTGTTCTGTTGGGTTCAGCTGCGTACATCAGTACAAAACACTGTTGGATATTGCTGAGGTCAGTCAGGTGGCACTGTTTATCTTCAAGTCAGAGCTGTTGCATGTTGTTGGATTCAGCATTGTAGACTTATCTAGCTGCTGGGGGTTACTGCATTGCTGGGCTGGTACATAATGCATCTGATTCCAAATCAACTTCATATGAATGTAGGATTGTGCTCTTCATGAAAGAAATTGGTGAGTTATACAGAAATACATAACTGCTGTATAAATTTGAAAAAAAAATACACATTGCACTGTTGTTTTTTGTTGGGTACATACAGAAGGTTTGAACAGTATAATACAAGTTGGATTTTGCTGGGCCTGGGAGGTGCCTGCTGAACCCAACAATATCCACCGTTGGGTATTGTTGGGTTCAGCCTGCTGCACAGTTTACTTGCTGTTGGATGTTTTGGGGTTCAGTAGTGTGGTAGCAGAATTGGGGTCGGGGTTAAGCTTTGGGGAGGGTTGAGAATTGATCACTGAGCAAGCATCCATCTCACTTTGACAATCTTTTGTACATTGTTGCCTTTTACAGAGTTTCTAGCTGAAAAAAACTTGGGGGGTCAGGATAATTCACTTAAAAGCTGGTAATAAGTGTAAACAAAATTGAAATAAGGCTCACCGATCAAGACAGAAGCTAGCAAATGCCTCATCAATACTCCAGAAGGTATCATCTTCAGTCCGTCTCATATACTCTTGAAAAAGTGGCAAAACCACAACCTGCTTTCGGAGTTTGGTCCACCTCAAACCTTCATGTGGCAACAGCAATGATGACATTTCTTCATCTCCACAAATATTTGAGTTTGAATCTCCCACTTGATCAATTGTCCCTTGGTTATCCCTGGCTGGCTGTTCAGCCAAGGTGATTGGTTCCTCAGATAAACCGCAGGATTCCTGACTTCCTTGGTTTGTCTTGAGGGCAGGATGTGAGTCATCAACAGGCGATGAAGATGGCAGAAACACATCTTGGGATTCGATTGTGTCTAAGATTTCTTGCAAAGCACCGGAGGCAGCAGTCATGGCAACATCTTCCTCATTTTGCAGCAATGAATTTGGATCCTTAAATAACAACAGAATATGGTCAAGAAAGAGCACTCAGACACTGTTTCTTCCTTTTATCAAGGACAAACAAATAAATTCAAATACAAAGTACTTTTACCAATTGAAAACCTTCATTAAGCTATGAATGATTTGCTATGGGAGCCTTGCTCTGATGTTACATGTACATGTATACTAGTGTAAGTATTCTGATTGCCAAGTTATTAAAGTTGAAAATGTGTTCAATTTTTGTGAGTGTCTACTCTCTGTGAAGTCTAAAACAGGTACATTAATGAGTCTTCACACAAGAAGTTCGTTTGGGATATTTGCAAAGCACACATAGAGCTGTGATATATTTTCTAAAAACGTGGCCCAAGGAATTATGGAAAAAGCTCCATGTACAGACAACACTTGATGCCCCTATGCACAAACCTATGAGACTTGTCTGAAAAAAATGAAAGTATTTTCTAAGTAAATTCTTCAAAGTTTTCTTCCCTATATTGACTATTGAATTATTAGTGTTGTCCATATATGGAACTTTTTCCGGAAGAATTTACTTATTCTAAATTAGGCTTGGATGGTATTTCGGTATTACTAAATAGTGTTGTTTGTTTTTTTAAATACCAAGCAGTATTGACTGGTGATCTATAAATACTAGAATACGGGCAAATACCAGTATGGAATGCCAGGGCCATGGTATTCTTGCTAATGTTGGCGGAATTTTGGCAGAACACTATTAGTACTAAAACAAATGAAAACCACCATATCGTATTTCATTGCAAACTTAGTGGTTCAAAAGTGGTTACAAGCCATCCAGTGTCATGTCTGCATCATCACTAAGTTACAGCAGAGAGATACATGTAAGATCTAATTGTCCAGTGCTGGACTAGGTGACATGAAACCAAGTACGGTAGCAGCCAGCTCATCAGCCAAAAGCCTTTGATATTTAAATGTAAAAAAGGAGTCATTGCAGAATATCCCATCAATCCAAAAAAGGACCCCTGGAATGACTGGTTACATGGGTACAAGGTAAAAAATCCCATGAGAAAGATTGTAACAGTTTATTTGACTTCTACCTGGTCACGAGGTTGATCATGCCGGATGGCGGGGTACTCTGCAATTGAGCTCATCAGTTGACACACTGTGCACAAACATGATGATCCCTAGGGCCCTGTCCTAACTAAGACTGGTCAGAAAAATTCCAAGTGTTTTCTATATGTAATTTATTGTAAATGTTTTAATATTTTCCCAGCTAAGTAGTATTACTCGGGATTATAGTAGGATGATGTAAGACATTTGATCACTTTCTGATGGCTGGTAAACCATTGCAGGGGAAAATAAGTGATGCCACTTGCCAGTGAACAGAACTCCTTGCCTGTAAATTCCAAAGTCGGACTAGGCCTTTCAGGGTTTACATGCACAGCAGCCTGGGAGTCATGATTGATAAATGATAAACACCGTCTACAGTAGCAGTTTGAGCTTGACAACAGTGGGTGTGAGTTCCAGCCATTGCCTGCATAAAAGTGAAACTAATTCGATTCTATCTCTCACCTCTTCCATGGCTATATGTCAGAGTAGGCTACTTCTGAAACAGGGTTTTGCTCAGGAATCGAGGTCAGGAGACGTTTATTTTTACTCTTTCAACGTCATTTTACACGTCTAAGATTACAGAGACTTCAGCTCTAGCTCTTGTCACATTATGGAACAGCGCCCTCAAGGGAGGGTTGGAACAATACGCGCGAATCATCATACATGTAAGTGAACCCACTCAAAAAACTTAATAAATGTAAATAAAAAGTAATTATAATTCACAATATATTCTAGATTGTTTGTACTTCCACTTTGCAACAAAACCGAAGAGAAGAGTGTTGATACCCTAAAAATACCATGGTCCTTGCTTCCAGGCCAAACTGGGACAAATAGCAAAGCAATGGAACATTTACAGAGAACTGATGTAGGGGGCGGCAGGTTGGGGGCTGGCGCGTCTTTGTGATGTGGGAATCCAAGGGGAGGGCCGGGGGCGGAAATGAGGATTGGGAGAGTGTGTGTCCCCATCTCCCACCGTTTCTAAAATGTTGAAGACAGCTGGTATTTCACAATTCTGTATATTTATTTGTGAAAGCCTCCAAGATCTGGACAAACTTTGTAACTAATCATTAAATGGAATATTCCATGCATTGTCATTTGACATTTTATTTATTCCATTTTTTTCTAAGATTGTAGAATGATCGACAGAGAGAGAGAAGAGGAGCAATGTTTGACCAATTTTATTGGTAAACAGTAGCACCAACACAAAATTTATTTCTGAATTTCTTGAATTTATAATGCACATTTAAAAACAAACCACTGTTTCACAGTTAGTAAAATCATTTTCACTATAAGTAGTAATAATCTGCAACATCTTAAAATATTTCTTGAGTTGAATAATCAAATTGTACAAGAATAGTATTTCCTGTTACGACACTCATTTTATGTTTGATCCAACTTCTTTGCAAAAACATGAGTAAAGTCTCAACCCTGTTCTAACGGCAGGACTTTCAGATGGCAAGCACCCAGTGAAGATAATTTGAAGAGCAAAATAAAAGGTTAAAACAAGCATAATACAAGTTTTAAAATACCTGGTGTCATCCATTTCACTGATTTGTTCTGCAAAAAGGTACAGGTACATGTGTGTTAACCTTCAACACTGTAATTTCTATTACATTGTATTTCTTCTTTGTAAAACAAAACCATACAGGCTAGGGTAGCTTGGGCCCCCATGGGAGTAAAATGCTGGGGCGGATCTATCCCTGAAAGTGCTGTTAAGGGCCAACCGTGCATATCAGCAGGTCTAAGAAGTGGCCAAGATCTGTTCAACACTGGCTGTCATAATCTGCTCCAGTTTTCTGGATCCCAATATTGTTTTATAACTTCTCTTACATTTGATTCAGCACGGACCATGAACACCTGAAGTAGGTGTGGTACCATTTTTGCTGAGTCTCACTGTCTGGCTTACAAACTATACATGTATTTTCTTGTTACATTTTTCAATGAAATGACCAATCTATGTAATTACTAATAAAATATTTCACATCGGGGCACTGAAGTCGGTATAAGTAATTTTAGTTTTCTATGTCTCATAAAAACGTTTTTATAATATGAACAAAAACAAAAGTAAAATCACGATTAAGAAAAATCATATGAACTTATCAGTTTTGATACACAGTTACTGTTGTACAAATGTATACTAGCAATAAAAATTAATATTTTATTTTGTTTTACTCAAGTAGTTGTGCATATAGTAGCTTGAAACAATACAGATAATAATTAAGAACAAATGTGAAAACAGTACACAAAATACAACACAAAAATACAAGAAATATTCCCTAATATTAAATTCACTGTATATAGCAGATGTTATTTCCTTATGTTAAGAAAATAATTTGATGGCAACATCAGAACATATAAAATCTTTGGTAGAAGAGCTTAGCCCAATAATTACATTTGTTTAGAACATACTGAAACCATCAAGGTTTTAACACCAAGCAATGTCTTGTTTATACACAATTTCAATGAATTGAAGCTATGATCGATATTTTTATTAACAAACCTGTAACCAAAGCATGCAACAAACATATGAATGTTGGCAATATCTGAAGTACTTGATGTACAACTGTAACATCTACTCTTTTTAATTTGAAAGCTTATAATCACTGACAGAGACCTGAAACCAATGCCTTTGCTGTATCTCTACGAATAAGCTACTCGGTACAAGTATTCACAAAGAATATAATATCAATATTTTTGCAGCAAATGTGTATTTTGTAGCTTAGTAGTGAATATGCATAGAAAATTAGTTCTGTATAACTAGCAAATTACAGCAGAATATGCGATAACAAACATGAAGCCAATCAAGCACGCATAACTTGCTTGCAGGCTACTTGCTTCAATTAGCAGAGATTGGATTAATCCCAATACTCCACATACACTGATCAGAGCGTTCCTGAGTCCTTTGAAATCATCCTCTGTACAGAAAACCAATAGGGCGCTCATAAAGTTTCAGGACTCATCAAGTCTCATGTAAAATAACTGCTGCATGTACTTCCATTTGCCTGCAAAACTCCTGGTGGATTTTGTAGGTTCTGGGAGGGTAGGTTAGAATTTGGCAGCAACATACCTTATCTCACTTATTAATGCCATGGATTTTCAAATGGGTTTATTATTGATTGGAAGGGTTGAGTTACATGTACATTCGTCTTACTCTCTAGTTGGGCATACGTCTTGGAGCCATGCATAATCAGGTTATTGACAAACTCATAATTCTCAACAGTCTCATCAACACCCTCACGGTGCTGATCAACAAAGGTCTTCATCCCAGCTAATTCTGTCTCCCTTGTTTCCTTGTCTTCTGATTTCTTGCTGGTAGATTTCTTCTTAGCAGGTTTCCGTTCACGTACCTGTTTGCCATTTTCCTTCCACCAGTCAATTCCATGCTGTTTCTTTTGATGCATCTTCAAGCTGACTTTGTGGGTGAAAGAATCCTGGCAGAGGTCACATTTATACGGCTTGACACCTGTGTGTACCCTCTCGTGACTCCTCATGTTGGTAAGTTGGGTAAAGCCCCGCCCACATTCTGAACACTTATAGGGTTTTTCTTTCATATGCACAGCTCGGTGGACCCTCAGCCGAACACTGTTGAAGAAATCCTTCCCACACTGATCACAGATATATGTCTTCTTGCCGGCATGAATCAATTGATGTCGTTGCAGACTGGAAATACAACGGTAAGACTTGTCACACTTGTCACAGTGTAGCCGTTCACCAGTCCGATCCATGGTATGGACGCGCATGTGGAGTTTGAGCCGTATCCTGTTCACAAAGAATTTACCACACTCTTCACAGATGAAGTTCCGTGACTGATGTTTGCGATTGTGGTATGTCATATTCTCAACATATTCTTTGCAATCAGGGCATTCTCTGAGTACTGTAGCTATATCAATCACTTGGCAGGTGTTGTAACTGCTTGTAGGATCTTGATAGTCCTGTTCACTGATTGGTTGCTGTCTGTGCACCTCAAAGTAATGCCATATCATGTCTTCCCTTCCAGTGAACTGTTCCATGCACGTTTTGCATCGAAAAAGTCTTGGCAGAGCCTCACGTATGACCTCTAATCGCATACGCGTTCGTCTGCCACAAAACAATATACTGTCTTATTTCAATTAAATGTAATTATTTTATTTAATTACCAATTTCAACAATTAAACTAAAAACTAGACAATTTGAATTAAAAGATCACTGAATTTAGATTAAAATAATTTAAAAGAACCAATTCCAGTTGGAACTGAGTGAAATCTCAACTGTTGGAAACTTCACTTGAATATGTCTTTCCCTTAGTTTAATTGCAGGGAATGAAGTTTTCTGTCTTTGAAATTGAGAGGGTATGGCCTCTTTTATCTGTCTACTTTTGACGAGTTGTTTGTTTTGTTGCACTTGCCTATTTTCCCCTTACTTATGAAGCCACTCAAGAATGTATCAGTTTTTCTCAATCAATTTCAAGCAAAAATCTCAATATCGTCTATTCAATGCAAAGAGTTTGTTTAAACACAAATTTACTTCCGGGTAGAACAAAGCAAAATAGCAATAAGTGTCCCATCCATTATAAAATGACTGACTAGACTCAAATCCCCAGTTGGAAGCCACCTGATTATTTGAAATTATGTACAAGGTTGCAAGGTTGAAGCAGTCTGTGCCATACTGCTGTTCAAAATTAACCCCCCCCACACAAAAAGAATAGATTTTTCAGAACCTTTATATGATCTGAAGCTAAAGGTTTATTCTGCAATTTCAAAGCATCGCTCAGAAAGGGATGCAAAGAAAGAAAAAGTTTCAAATATAAATCCATGAATTTAAGACTTACGAGTCATTGTAGGCTTTCCTCTTTGCCATTCGTTGCTCTTCGGTCAGGCGTGGGCGCCCTTTCTTGCCTTGAGCCCTTGGTGAGTCAGTCGAGTGCTTTCGTGGTCGTCCTCTCTTGCGTGATGGCTCCTGGTGGGTCTTTGGTTTCAATGCTTTGGCATTTTGCCCTTTGGGTTTGGACTTCTTTGGTTTGAGTTTCTTGTCTTTTCCACTATTGTCTCCATCTTTGGCATCATTCAGCATCACCTTGGAAACCGTCATGATTTCATCCTTTGAGGATCTTGTGCTGTTTCGTCTGGGCATTCTTCTGCTTGGGGTCTTTTTCTGATGCAGATATTGAACCAATTAATTAGATAATAAGCAGGAGTTTGATAAAATTGTTAAACTCCCAAACAAACACAAGAGGGTTGCTTTAGCATTGACTGAAAGCGAGGAATTCGTTGAAAGGACAGCAGACATGTGTTACCAGTATGCAAGTCTGCATTTCATATCTTATATTCACTGCTTACAGGGGTAAATAAATTCGCCCCAGAAGACAATTTTCATTGGCCAAAAGGATGACTCCAAGAAGAATAAGCCAAGGTAAATCAGCCTTCATATAATGATGTTACCAACAAAACACTTGACATTTTTCGAGTCTGCATAAGAATGCTAGTTTGCTAGTCTCTGAAACTAGTTTGAGACCAGTAGTTAATGTGTGGTTGATCGGTGACGCACCTTGCGCAGGTGCAGTGAAGTTGAAGTGCGAACGATTCTAGTCAACCATTGTCAGGTCATTTACTCCAGTGGGGAGAAAACGTGGCCATAGCAAGGGCAAAAGAATAAAAGAATGGTGAAAATGATCGTTTACTTTCTTTCTTTCGATCGCTTTTTTCTTAGAACTGGTCCTCTCTGAACTATGCTATTAAAAACGGCTGTGAACAGCTATGGCAACCAACTATGCAATCAACCCCAGTAGGCTGGTCACGAATTGATGTCTAGACTAGTCAAACCATAGTGGACTAGAGTGCATTTAATCAGAATAATTTGAACTATGGTTAACTATAGTCCTTAATCAAACTTGCCTGTTGACATGATTACACAAATCAAGATGAGTATTGAAAAGTGCAATACACACAGTTGAGGGCACTGTGTGACTGACAAGAAACAAGATAAGGCAATTCTGTGCATACTAACCTGTTTGTTTGCACCAAAGTAAAGTCTTATTTGTTAAAAGAATATACAACGTAAGAAGTTACATGTAAAAGCTGACTTTATGTCTGCAACACTTTCATCACACCTTGCATAGCTCATTAGTGTTTTGTCATTTGTCGGTGTTGATATGACACTATGGACAATATTATTTTACAGAAGATATTCCATTACTTAGTCAATGATTCTACTGAATTCTTTTGCTTGACAGTAACTTATATTGGCAACATCCAGGCTGTTATGTACAAAGGGTCAACCATTTGTAAGGTTCTATCATAAGGCACTGTTTTCTATGGCTAGGGCTCTTCATCAGCCTGTGAAGTGTCTGGTAAAATCATAGCCATAGCCAAAAAGCACACAAGCTGGACACAGTCTAAGTAAATTTTTGAAAGTACGCATGCTCAACTGTGAACAAAAGGGGAAGAAATTTCAGACTCTTACATATCGAATGATAGAAACTGGCTTATAGTCTACATCATTGGGATTATCATCCATGGATAAGACATCCTCATCATTATCATCTTCAAATGGATCGTCAAGGAAAATTGTGTCGATGTAACAAGCCTTCTCTGCGTGAGTGCTTGTGGTGTCATTTAGAGCTCTAGAACAAAAAGGTAAATAAATCTTGGTTAGTTTTGATCGATTTACATATATTAAGAAACCTCAGAAACAAAAGGACAGCAAGAAATTTTTCATATTTAGAACAGAGATGCATGTGGAGTATTTGTAGGTGAATCAACGGTGATGACTCAAATATTCATCTTCTTGTTATCTCCTTTTCTGAACCTGAAATAATTATTGTTAAAATTTGCAGTTTAAAATCAAAGTTCAACATGTCTATGCAGTATTCTGCCAACTAAGCCCTCCTTAACCTAACTTAGCAAGTTGCACATTAATCGGGGTTTGATGGGAATAGTGTGTCAGAGCTTATTTAAAAAATGCTTGGAAGTGTGTCCTTTAATCTGCGAGGGCCACCTCTGGAGTTCCACAACATGGACATTAAGAACAATCCAATGGTAATAATTTACAGATGAGTGTAAGAAACTTCAACCATCTTAAGTGATGTACTATGACAGTTGTCTATACATGTACATCTTGTTAGGAACAGTTCAACCAGCTGAGAATATTACTTGCTCTTGCTGACAGCATCATGTTCCAACACAAGCATTAAAAAATGGACCTATGAGTTCCTGACAAAGGAGCTGTTCCCTTTCAGGCTGTGATGAGAGACTCAGTGGTAACCAAGAAGGGAATAGACCTAAGACCAACCTACCTTTCATACTTGCGTGGCTGACCTTTCCTCCTTGTTGTATTCCTGGTCTTTTGTATAACTGCTGCTGGTCTCTGGCGAGCAGAAGCTTGCGCAGAAATGGCAAGAGTCTCTTCAACTCTGTTGGTGATAAGTAAGTTTACTATCAATCTAGGGAAATTTATTTCAAACTTGTTGTGCAACCCAATGTTCTCACCTAATTTTAAAATCTTTGTTTTTTGAATGGTTTTTTCTACTTCTTGTAAGATGCCAGCTGATGGGGCTCTGGATCTAAATCACTGATCAAGGATGGAGAATAAAAAGAACTTTAACAGGGGGAAACCCTGATTCTTTAACAAACTCTTTGAGAAAAACATTTTAGTGTAACAAAATATAGGGCCTACTCAGTGTTAACCCTGAGAGCTTAGTGATGCTCCTTAACTTACCTATCAAGGCAAAAACTTACAAATGCCTCATCTAAGCTCCAGTGGGATTCATCACGCACCCTGTTGGCATACTTCTGGAACTCAGGCTCAATTGAAATCTTATCTCTGAGCTGAACCCATCTTGGCCCTTCATGTGGTAGAAAACTTGGAAGTGGACAATCACCAGCAACAGCGGAAGATGAATATCCAGAGTTGCACGTACTCTCGGATTTCTCTTCGTTGTTCTGGGTCATATTTGGGGAATTGATTATGCAATCTGACCTGAGATCTTCTTCCTTATCTTGCTGAATACAGATGGAACACTGCGACTGTTTGGTCAGATTTTGAACCTTTGTTGCCATGGAAACTGTTTCCCCTTCTTCATTGATGCTTTTAAGGATTTGTTCGAGACATCCAGAAACTGCTTTCAGTACATCGTCATCGCAATGGCAGAGGGAATCCTGCAAGAACAACACATTCATAGAGTAAAATTTCCTTTTTGATTATTAGGTTACAATTGTGAGTGTAATGTTGGAGGTACATGTAAATCGGTAACAGCAAACACTGAAGTTGAGCCTGCCCCAAGCCTGTACATATGTACTGGACAAAGTACCTGGTGTTTGGTGAAATCTGAATTTAGTGAGTAAAATCTTGGATTTCTCTGACAAATATGGCGCCAAGGCTCCAATAGTTAACATCAACCTTACTCAGCAGCTCAATACATGGACCACTCTACGGAAAGAGTTCCATATACAGACAACACTAATTAAATGTTACAACTGTCAGAAAGTGATAACATGTCCTAAAAAGTGAAATTAAGCTGAGAAAATTCCTTAGCATTTACTTAAAAAACAGTTTGTTCAGACAAGTGTCATCGGTTTGGGCAGTTGGTAAAAGTCGGAGGTCATGGAGGTAGTCAGAGCCTAGCCGGTGGTAGCAAAGCACTTAAATGTCCACTCACTCGTCCCCCTGTTACCAAGCATCACCTACTCATTAGGCTTGTCCTTTTTGTGGCCCAAAAGTGTCCAAAAATGATTTTACCGCGAGTCAAAATTAACCCCCTTTGTAGTGATGGTACTATTCACGTCTTGAACACATACACTGTACTGTACGTGCATCGTACCGTCACTACAATACAAAGGGGGTCAATTTTGACTCGCAGTAAAATCCTTCTTGGACGCTTTTGGGCCGCAAAAAGGACAAGCCCATTAAGAAAGGGATCCTTCGTAACAGGAGGGTGAGTGAGTAGACATTTAAGTTTAAATGTTAAACATGTTAAATGCTACCTTCGGCTACGGTACCTTCAACTTTTACCAACATCCATAGATTTGTGTACACGGCCTCAAGTCTAAAACGGAACTGCCTCTTAAACATTAGATTTGGTCATGATTTGGCAATTGGTCTGACAATTGCCAGACCAATTAGAAGAGGTGATTCATACATACATTATACATGTACCCCCAGCACTATGAGATGCGACGTCGGGATCGGGAGGGAGGGCGGCGGACGTCGAACCCTCAAGCTCTAACGTTGAACACTGTGATCACATTGATCGTCATGCATGTTTGTACAAACACTAGCTTGATCTCACCTGTTTCCTGTCCATATTTTCGAGTCTGAGCTGCAACTTCCACACTGTTGTTCAGCCTACTTTTGACTGACCATTAACCTTCGTAGAGTCCAAGACTTCGAGCTCAAAAATATTCCTTCATTATATAGTAAGGGCACCTTTACCTTTAGTACAGACAGGTGTGACAGCTCACATACAAAACCGGTATCCGTGCAGTGCACCGTGCTTAATTGCTCGAGCTCCCTGGGAAAGGTTGGAGCGCCCTCATGCCACCCCATTTTACGGAACATTTTTACGACTATGTACATGTACCGCCGGCAAATCTTAGTTCTAAACGACGCTTAATCGCTTCTTTATATTTGTAACTTGAGTATTTTAATACTGCTTGTTTGTGAGTTTCTGTTTGTTTTTCACCAGGGCTGCTGGACTCAAGTTGGAGATCAGTGATACCGGCATTAAATAGTTTAATAAATAAACACATGTAAATAAATACTTATTCCTATTTGCACAGTTGTTGCTGTTTCAGAAATTCATTTCCATGTAAATAGACACTAAAATACTGGAGACGCATTAAAGTAGGCCTACCAGGAAACGACCGAATCTTTATTTCCCAAACTCTCAGATACTGTTATGTTTTTTAAAAAAGATTTTTCATTGTTTGTCTGAGTGCGTTTGCCTTGAACACTTAGCAAAAGTTGTCTATATTTCACATTCTTTTACCTGAACTTAATATCACTGTTTGTTGGTCTGTTGTCCTTCCCTTTTTTGGTTTTGTTTTGTCTGTTTTCGTTTTCGCTACTTGCATGTTTCGGATGTTGTGTTTCTCTGTCCGGGGGTCATTTGTTTCTTGTTGATCGTCTCTTTAGAGTTTGTTTTGAGGGGGGGTTGTTTTGTTTTTAGATGTTTTAGTTATCCTGGGGGTGTTTTCCTTGCTTTTCTTGTTGATATGGTGAAATTCCAGGATTTTGTACTATTTGTAGGGTTATTCTTTTCGCCCATGGGATTATGTGTTTTAGTGTGAGTCTGCTATAATGTTTGTGATTTGGCAAATTATGGTTCTTAGTCATGCTGTGGGAGAACTACTTCACAGTGATTCAGTTCACTTTTTAGTAATCCTGCAGGGGCATGCAAATATTTTGGTGTTAAGGTTTTAGTCTTTTTATAAGATTTGATGTTATATTTAAACTTTTTATGTCTTTTTATGTCTATATTGTATGTAATATTTCTATTTATTTTGTTTATCCATTGTAAACTTGACCTAATCTTCGCAAGAGGATCCCCCTAAAATCGGCATATGTTCCAAACATAATTATTGATTTAATTCTGGAGCAACCAGTTTGATTCCTGTTTCATACGAAGACAATTTAAATAGGATGTTATCAAGTGATGTAATACATGCTAAGCATAATTTTGTTTGTTCAAAATGACCACTCAAAACTTCAACAAAATATAAAGGTTTTGATTGTCTCCTCTTTGACAAAAGAAAGTTTCTCAAAGATCGACGCTGGTAATTATTGTAGTAATAACGATAATCATTTATTTCATCGACACACTTCCAGACTTTAATTCATGTGAAGTAGTCAAGGGTAACCCTATAACATTGTGGAACTTACTATGTCTCAGGAGACTGCCTTTAAATAAGTAAATTAAGTATGATTTTTTCCGAATGCCTGTGTTGCGCACCCTTCGGCACTGGCGTATCCGGGGCACATTTTGCAAGGGGCATTTGTATGAGCCATCATTTTCCGGAAGAGGTACACGCTACTATCTGAACTACTTTTTCATGTAATGAGAGGTAAAACACTGACCATTGATGGGTGGGCTTTCACCTGTACCCCCCCCCCATCTCTAATTTTATTTTAAAGTTGCTGTGGAGGTTCGGACTAGGGCATCGGGGCCTCGAGCGGGGCCTTGTCCCCCCATTACTCGAGTTACTGTAGTTTTGCACTACGATATGCCCATAAAGATGGAATGAGCAAGCTGGTTGGCAGCCGAGGCATTGGAAAAATTCGCGACAAAATAGAATTTATGACGCAGCAATGTGACGATGGTTTGCGATGGTCTTGAAAGCTGTCATTAAGAAAATGACTATGAAAAAAGGGTTGTGATGTGGTGAAAAATACCCCTTGAGGGTCATCATACCCCAAAACAGTTGTCACAGTCTAGAAAACCAGAAGGCATCCCACGCAGTGCCTTCTAGTTTCAATATCATTTTTTTTATTTGAAAGCAAGTCGTTTCTTATTTTTTCCATACTAGTCCAGTGAAACCGACGAAATTCGGATTGAGTTAAAAAGAAATTGCTGTCAGTTTTAAATTCCCAGTCCCATTCCAAGTAACGTGTCCAAGGACATATGCCAAAAACATCTACGTTCCTGAGTCAATGTCCCCAGTGTCCTTTTTCGGGGAAGGCCACTTCAGACGCTGCTTTGTACGAATATCAAGCGCGCTTTGTCGCAATACGGGGATTCCCCTGGTGAGCTCAGAAGTAAAAAAAAAAAAAAAAAAAAAAAAAC